TCAATATCTAATTTAAAAAAAAATAATAGTAATAATAAAATAGACCTTACAAACGGCTACCTATATTATATAGCTGCTACAGCTTTAATGATAATATACCTACCTGCATAACTAACTATTTTACGGGCTCATAGAATTATTATAATGTATTTTTTAAGTTATTGTACAATAATAATAATTCGTTTTGTAATCGCGTGACACCGTACCATTATAATGTGATCGAGGTATGGGTATTTTTATTTATTGTATCAAAATTATATTATATATCGGAGCGGCCCGTACAGACGGAACGATAGTAATATTATTATACCTACCTATATAAAATATATAAAATACGATATTTCAATAGGAGAAGAGGAAAAAAAAACTATCCATATTGGTACGGTTTGCGCGTACCCATAATATACACTAAAATAGTATCCGTTTGAAATATCGTCTTGGCGGGACGGATGATCGGCCGGGTCTAGGCAACAGGTTTTTTTTTTTCTATCCGCCGGGATAATATTCACCGCAATAATATAATAATAAATATCGGACACCGTCGATAACGGGCGCGAAAAAAAAATTTAAAAAAAAATAATAATATATCGTAATGTATTATTACTTATATTATATTATATTATCGTAACCGACCCGTATGGGTATATTGTAATAATAATATATACGAGAGGTACCTGCTGCAAATATTATAGTCGTCTACGGAATGGTACCCGGCTATGTGTGCTATGTGTGTGGGTATGTGTGGTTTCCCCCCTCCTTTGTATGAAAAACGACGAGAAAAAAAACCGTTTATAATAAAAAAAAAAAAAAAGGCCATCACGGTAGTCGTCCGAGGGAACCCGTCGGAGAGTCAAACCCCGCGCTCGTTTGTGTGTGTGTGTGTGTGTGTAAAATGACAAAGTTATGCGTTTCTGGGTAACGTCTTAGGTGGAAGAAAAAAAAAACGTTTATTTGTTATAATATTTTTCCGAAAACCCTCGGAATCGTTTTATAGATAGAATCGAAACCCGACAACCAACCCCCCGTATACGTGTATGCATATACAGGAGGTACCCGTATATTCATTATTCGTGTGGGTGCGTTTGCGAGTGCATTGCGTATACGTATATTATACTCGCACACAATGCCCGCACAGCGAGGGTGTGTTCGACATGACAAGAATGTGTTATGCCATAGAGTCGCCGTACGGAATTATTATTATTATTATTGGGTATATATACACGTCCTAACCTTATGCGACACACACAATGATAATAATAATGTGCGCCGCCACCGCGGACAACCGAATAATACGTACCTGCCGACCTCCTTGGCATCGGCCACACGGTATACCTATACACGATAATATACAATAACGTAACGATAATATTATATAAAGAGCCGGACATGTTATTATTACTATTATATATTATTATTGTAGTGCATCGCGCCACGTCGTCATGGGTAGGCTCTGTGCCACGGTTGTTGTATATTATTGTGTTTATAAGGAGAGATGGTGGATATAATACATTGTAACGTGCGGGGAAGTTGCTGTGCGCGGGTACCTCGGGTAAGGTCGCGTCGGGTACGACGTTATTATAATGATATCGTATGTAGAGCAATCGTAAATCATTGCGAACAAAAGTGAGAAAAAAAAACCCGATTTCGATACGGTGTTCGGTCGACTAGCTATTATTAAGGAGAACGTGATACCCACCCCCGTGCATGTACATACTGTTTCCGTCTCACAATATAAACGTACGACATAGCAAATTTTCGTCCGCAGCAGGGACAACTTTATGTTGTTTAATTTTGTTCTTTTTGAGCGACTTCACCTCATAATATTATAAAACCAACAGACAAGAGCTTAAGTATGCCGGCATTATTTTAGAGCTTTTTAAATTCTGTTTAACTAATCGAGTACTGCAGGTAGTAAGATTAAATAGCGTTCTTAGTGATTCTGCAATTATTACCTACCACAGGGAACAGTACTAGATCCCACTTCGTTTCAAATTTACATAAATGGTTTACTTAATACAAATGATGAATCTAATATTGCCTGTTGTGCTGACGATGCAGTTACATTACTCCGTGTGAAACTTATGATGGTTTTTATGAAAAAGCAAATACATTATTGCGCTGGATTGAAGGTATGGTTAGATAATCATATTTTAATACTAAATATAAATAAATATAAGTGCATGATGTTATAGATCAAAGATTCTCTGTCAAATTATAACCTACGGCTAAAATTTCGACTCTGCCACAAAGGAGGTTACTAATTGTAAGTGTAATGGTTTGTTAAAAGTGGAAGAGTATAGAAATATCTGTGTGTCATTTTGGATAATAAATTGAAACGGGTGTGTCATATTAACTTAACATTCAAATAAAGAAAATTATTATTTATATTTCTCTGGTAGAATCTATTTTAGATTATGAGTGGAGCGAAGAAGCTTATTATGGTTTTATAAAGATGTTTATTTTTTTTTGAAAATCTTACTCCGATTTTCAAAGATAGCACATTTAACTTAAAGGAAATCGGTGTGGGGAGATACTCTAGAGGGGTCAGTTTTCGATTTTCTCAAAAGTTTTCTCATTAAATACGAAAAACCGAAAAAAAAAACAAAGGAAAAATGAGGAAATTTACAAAATGTAGATATTGGTTAAAAAATATTAAGGTTTTCTTTTTTTCTGTGAACAACTTTTCTACAAACAATTTGGCTCCGATCTACAACGAAAGCACTTTTTCTGAAAGCAAATTTGGGTGATTAGTGGAACACTTATAAAACGCCACACGCCATGCCGTCATACAAATTATATTCCTATAATTTCCCACTACCTAAATTTAAAAGTGGAAAATTTCGTTAACAGTTTGACGAAAACCAAAAATGTTGACACTAAAATTTATTTAAAGTAACGCTCCCTCTATTTGTCGAATTTTTAATATAAATTATTGTTTGATAAAATACAGTTGATGTCACTACAGAATACTCCTTAAATATTTTGAAAAATCTAAATACTCGGAAATACGACAAAAAAATAAGGTGAGCACGTGTATTGAATCAACCTGTATATCATATATTTAGCATAAATGAATTAAAAAATTTTACCCTATATATATAGCATTCGAATTGAATTTTCTGTTGTTAGGCCTAAAAAAATCCATTATTTAAGAATGGCAATTATTATTGCGTTTATTTTATTAAACAATAAACATTTTCTATTTATATAATTATCTAAAATAGATAACATATCAACCATTATCATAATACTTCAATATTTTAACATTTTACTAATATATAAAAAAATAATAATGTTACAATTTAAACATACAATATACATTATATATTCAGCATAGATGAAATTGAAAAATTTTACTCGATGTATAGATATTCAAATTAAATTTCATTCAAGTTGTAACTAGTATTCATTATTTTTATTAATTTAATTATTAATTTTTAGAATATAATTATATTATATTATACATCGAAGATACACGCAAATTATATTGACTTGTAGTATTAATAATTTGTCCAATCTAAAGAAAAAAATTAATAAAACTTGGAGAAAAATGAAAAGGTATTAAAAAAATGTATAAAGATCGAAAACACACCGGACAAGGGACGTATAGAAGATGTACGTACAGAGTTACGTACATTAATTTTTTTTAAAACAAAAATAAATAATAATTACAATTATTAAAATAACAAAGTAACACGGATACTGTTAATAAAATATAACGGTGTCGTCGCCATAGAGATTATTATTGTATAACCACAGATATAAATAATGAGAGTCCGGATTTATAAGCATGTTTTTTTTTTTAGACAATCCAAAAAGTAGCTGGATAAGTTATAAGTTTGAATTATAGTCAATAGAATCGAAATAAAAAGTTTTATTTTGCATATTAGTGCATATATTACCATTTTTTGACATGTAGTGCATATTTCTGTATTTTACGATTTTTCATAATGATGATATTTTCAAAAAATATTTATTGTTCTGTCGTCAACTCAAATACTAGACTCTTAGACTCTGAATGGAACGAAAAAGCCAATGGTTTTACAATGATGTTTATTTTTTTTCTATAAACAATTTGTCTACCAGAAATTTTTTCCCGATTTACAATGATAGTACTTTTCCTGAAAGAAAATCTAGCTGGGAAGGTACTTTAAGGAGATCAGTTTTCGATTTTACCAAGAGTTTTTCCAGCAAATGTGAAAACCCAGAGAAAAATATAGGGAAACTCTGAAAAACGTAGAAAAAAACGAAAAAATCGTTAAAATGTTAAACAAGCATCACTATCAACTGAACTTGCTTATTTCATTAGCAATGGTTAATCGTTGCTTACAGATATACATTAAATTCCCGTCCGTACCCTACCTTCCCAACTTCCCACCTACAACAGCGGCTGCACCCGTACCCATTATCCTAGGACAGTATTTTAACTATGGAATAATATTTTGGGATTGTGCTTTCAATATACGCTTAGAAAAAGTAACAATTAATGGTATACAAGGTGTGGCTATTAAATAACGAGACTGCTCGCCTAAAGGGCGTTCTAGATGGGTAGTGAAAAAAACGAGTAATGCGTTGGGTATCTAGATATCTTATCTATGCACGTACCAAAACACGTTTTCGTCACTATTATAGTATTTGTGCAGTAGTGGTTTGAAACGAACGTGTTTTTTTCTCGTGCCGAAAACCATGTGTGACGAAAAACAGGAGCAACTTATCAATCTCAAATTTCTCGTTAAATTGAAAAAAACTCCGACCGAGTGCTATAAATTGTTGCAAGAGGCCTATGGAGGCAATTCTCTATCTCGTGCACGTGTTTTTGAGTGGTATAAGCGCTTCAGTGAGGGCCGAGAGAGCACTGAAGATGACCAGCGCCCAGGTCGCCCTGTCACTGTTTCAACTCCGGAAACAGTGACCAAAATCAACCAAATTATGCGTGCAGATCGTCGAATGAGCATCCGGATGATTGCCGANTTAGAAAAATTTTACATGAGGAATTACATATGACAAAAGTCTGTGCGAAGTTGGTGCCAAAAAACCTGACTCCTGACCAAAAGTTCTTGCGTCAACAGGTCTGCTCAGATTTCCTTGAAAAGTTAAAAGAAGATCCCGGGCTGATGAAAAACATTATAACTTGCGACAAAACATGGATTTTTCAATACGATGTTAAACAAAGCGACAATCGATGCATTGGAAGACACCTGAATTCGCCCAGAATCAAAAAAGCAAGGATATCCAAATCAAAATTTAAGGCAATGTTGATCGACCAGATTTACTATTTATCAATTTTGGCAACACTTCGAGAAAGAGTTCGTAAGAAACGGCCCGAGTTGTGGAAGAACAGCTCGTGGATTTTGCACCAGGACAACGCACCTGCCCATAACCCGCTATCTGTGTAGCAGTATTAGGCCGGTAAGCGCACTCCAGTGCTCTAACACGCGCCGTATTCACCAGATTTGGCACCGTGCGACTTTTTTTTGTTTCCAAAGATAAAATCTACTTTGAAAGGGACCCTATTCGAGTCGATGGAAGCGGTAAAGCAAAAAACGGCAGAGTCCCTAAAGGCCCTCACCAAAGAAGACTTCCAGCACTGCTTTGATCAATGGAAAAAACGTATTGAAAGGTGTGTGGTGAGGGGAGGGGAGTATATTGAAAGGGAGCATTTGAATGTAGAATAATTTTTATAATAAAACACTTTTTCGTAACCAGTCTCGTTATTTAATAGCCACACCTCGTACTATAATTTTCATTGGATAAATTTAAGTTTTATAGTACTAAACTTTTCTATGATGAATTTAATGATTGATCATTAAATTCATCATATAGAATTTATATAGATTTGTTTTATATAAATGTGTTATTTTTATTATATATAAGCATCTATTGATCACGATAAACCACGTTTAGAACACGAGATATAAAATTAGTATAAAACGATTTGTAGCTTTCACGCTTCACGTAAGGGACCTAACAAACGTCCCATAAGTGCGTTTGCCGAATAAAGTTGTTCGGGTATAGGTAATTACTATACTTGGATTCCCACCCTCCTGGATGTGTCTCTCTTTCGATCCGACCAATTATTTATTACGATGATCCCTCGGATGCCGGTAATACACGCTGAGATGAGGTCAGGCGATAAAATTATTATAGCATTGAGGTCGGAGATTGATCAGCGAGATTGGCGCGATGGGGTCCTCTATATGCACCGCGGTAGTAGCGGTATACGCGTTTACAACCATAGGTACATGAAATATTATGCGTACGGAGCGACGGGGTTTTAACCGTTCCGCACGGTAATTAATTACCCGGTAGTGTGTCCGCTGCACGACAACCGCGCGGGTGCGTTTGACGCGAGGACAAGACCTACTGCGGGGAGGAATCGGCGACGACTCGTTTGATCTCGAAAAATGGAAAACTTTTTTTTATTTATATATAGCATATGCCTTGCAATTCTATATTTTGCATGGTACATTACTGTTTATTCATTTATATGTAGTATGTCGATATAAAAATAATTGTTATTTTTGGGCACCGGAAACTTATATAGGAGCTAAACGACGAAGCTAAACGAAAAATTAATCCAAAAAAAAGTGAAATATTTTACAAACAAATATATTGTATAAAAATGCAAAACAAATAGAAAATATTCAACAATGTTTATCGAAAAACTGGTTAATATGCGGACATTAATTCATTTGAGAAAAAAAAATACCGATAAGTTAATATGTACTTAGCATGAATAAAAATGTTCTGATTTTTTCACGGCATAACACATACGATGCATCATATAGTAGGTACTTTATTTGAAATATTTTATCGAAATTTTTAAACAATTTACCCCAAGTTCTATTTTTTTGGGAGAGGAAGCGGGGTGGATTTATTGGCCACAAGAGAAAAACGCGACGACACAATTTCGCTTAGAGTCGTTTTTGTTTGTAATAATTTAGCATTGCGTATAGGATGTATCGAAGTAAACTAAATTACTTTATATTTCCTTCTTTCCCAGCTTCAGACCTACAAGAGTGGCCTCTCATAGTCTGAAATATGTCCGACTTTTATTCAATATTGTATATTCTGTAATTATTCATATCACATAAAAAAATCAAACTGAGAAAGTTAAATAATACAATATATTAATTAATAAATGATATGAAAATTGCATTTATATAATGACACTGACAACTGTGATTAGCGAGTTATTTAAAATTTGCATTTAAATTGTCTGGTTCAGTGGACCGTTTTTATAAATGCATCCTGATAGGCCCATATTTAAGGGGTGAAATGCCACCCTAGCATTTTTTTTTTTTATTTTTTTAACAAAGCAATTGTATATGTGTATTAAAAAAACACATATCCACCTATTTTATTCTTTGCATCGTAAAATTATACGATTTGAATAATTTATATAGTGAATAATACGACAAACACGTCTTATTGTAGATTAATATTTTATTCTATTATATTTAATTATGATTTCAACAGTATTGTTACAAAAATTCTCTATGATAGTGTGTACAAAAAATAACACAATAGGTCTTTATAAATTATCATCGAAAAAATACTATTGTTTTATTGATTATCAATGAAACGTGTCGTCTTAAATTGAGACAAATTTAAAAAAAAAAAACTATAATATTTCAACTTACAATTGTTATCATTTTAACCCATTATGCTGCCGTTCAAAGGGGCTAATTGGTTTTTGAAGTAACTAATATTGTAACAAAATGATTGAATGACGGCGTTAGTCTTTAATGACGATTTATTTTTGTTTTTCTTTTAAATAGTACAAATAAGTTACACCCTTAAAATTGTTTAATGCTCAGAGAAGTCCGTTGAAAAATAAAACACCATCTATCCAATCGAGAACCTCTAAAATATTATATTTTAATAGTATAATAATAATATATACTCGTACACAATAATTTTTCTATAACCCTAGCCATTTGTAGTTATGGTTTTAAATATACTTGCGTATATAAATGATCAATACTTAGATTAAACCTGTAAACATTGTATTTTTAAACTTTTCGATGTGGTTATTGTACAGTTAATATTTTCCATTGTTTTTTTTAAGAAAAACGAAATAATATACAAATTATTATGCGTTACTCAAGCATAATCACAGAATCGTTGTTATTTATAATTTTCTGTTTTAAATAAAAAAGGCCTTTTATAAAAAATGTTGACAATCTACGATAAATTATTGCAATAAAAATGCGATTCCGGGCGAAGCTTGCAGCTGAACCGGTTAAATTGCATACTCAGCGCTAGTCGCGTTTTTTTCCCGATATTGTAGCCAAGATAATCTAAAATTTGTCATTTAAACTATTGTTGTTTTTTCTTTTTAGGTCATTAAAATGACCGAGTATTTTTACTAGACGAAAAAGTGTTTTCTGAGAAAAACAACCACGCATCCATGTGGTTTAACTAATACACAGTATAGCTTCTTCCAAGCCGTGTGCCTATATATAGCTTCACACGACTTACACGATACATGTACACGATACATACGGCGAAGAATACCGTGTCGAATTAAAAAAAAAAACGTTATCTGATCGCAAAGATCGTAAACAATTAAACAAAACATTACCGTAGGCACCAACGGCTATTAAATGTAAATGAACAATAACATAATACAATAATAACACGTGTCTGGACGATTTCGGAATACAATTATTATTATTCGAACGCGCTGACCGACCGATCGCGTACGTACGGGCAGCGACGACGAGCGAGTAGTGGAGTGTTGAGCAATATATAATTATACGGCATTGTCACGGTGTAGTGTATTATTATAGGGTTGTAATAATATTACAAGTATTATTATTATTATTATTATATCGTAAGGGGTAACCGCGGGCGGGGGCTGTTGTAGTCGGGGGGCCAATCGCAGTGCTCCGTACAATTGGCCCTTTACAAAATGTTATTATTTGTTGCCGCCGCGCGCGTTAGGTTATAATATAATATACACGGCGAGTCGCTCATTTGTCATCTGCCCTTTTCGTATACCTACTTATATACTTATAAGAAAGAATAAAAAAAAAATAAAAAAAGGTAAATATATATATATACATATATATACCCGTTCCCGTTGTCGTCCCGTTGGAGCGGCAATTCATTTCTCTTAACGGCACACCATTTATAATAAACCGAAAAAATAATATAACGTAATAAACAACAACACAATAGGTACATTACGAAGTTTTTATTATTTTTTTTTTTTTTTTTTTTTTTTTTTTTCAATTTCGGATGGATATAATATAATATTATNCCGAAAAAATAATATAACGTAATAAACAACAACACAATAGGTACATTACGAAGTTTTTATTATTTTTTTTTTTTTTTTTTTTTTTTTTTTTTTCCCCCCCGTTCGTTCGTCCGTCTCGTGTTTTTTTTTTTTTTCATCGCGCCATATTTCGCCTTGTTCTTAACACAAAACAGTTGACGATTGTTGTTCGTTTTATTATTATTATTATTATCATTATCATCATCATTATCATTATAGCTGTTATTATACGATTCGTCCTCGTATATTACGGACATTTTTATTTTATTTTTTTTTTTCAATTTCGGATGGATATAATATAATATTATTATTGTTATTATTATCGTATACCGTGATAATAATTTATTCGTTTTCATCCATGTATACCGTCGATATGACGACTGCGTGTTTTTGGGCGCTTAGGTTATACTTATAAACAGGGTACCCGGAGTTTGTGCGACAACACCTCGTACACCGAAATGTAACAAGCCGTGTGACACGACTGACACGAGTTCTTTATTACACACTACATACGGGCTTTAGGCATATTCGAGTATTCAGAATTATAATATTATAATAATATATTATATGTATAGGTAGCGAAGCCCATGTAGAAAATAACCGGGCCATATTATGTACAGAGAGATTCGGTATGCGTATATTATAAAGGTATAATTTTAAATAATATTATAACATATCATGCACAATAATTTTTCGGGTAATGTTAATAAAGATAACCGATATTTTTATATCCATAGATAAAATGACCATAACGATTAATTGTCTAAAATAAAAATAAAAGATAATTCTCAGTTATCTATAGATAAAATAAAAAACAATATAAAATAAATTAATAGTAAGTATTCAAAATAGTATGTTAATAGGTCTTCATTGTACCATTTTTTGAATTTGTGAATTTTAGAACATAATCGTATAGTATTATCAAGGTTACGGTGTGATTGTAATAAAAAAAAACTTTTGAGTTAAACATAATTGTTTATTAAAATTTTTGTCGAATTTTTACACCGACACTATTAAACTGTATTCTGTCTGTTACTTAATATATATCTTTTACCCGCTACTTTTGTAATTAAGACGTTTCTAACGGTTTTACTTAGGCCAAATGTGTTC